GTGTGTGTGTGTGTGTGTGTCAGTTATCAAACATCTGCCGCGAGAAAAGACGCAGGCCTGCTCTAGTTAACTCCCTCCGTACCACAATGCTTTTCACTGCAGGCTGTTGTCACTCTGGCCTTTCGTTGCTCAGGGCAAAGGAGAAATGGATTCAAATCTTTGTAGCTGTGCAAGGTTTTGCAGCCTAGACTTTGTGTAGACAGTTAGCACGAACTGTTTCGGAAGTGACGATCCAACAGGTCAGACGTAATCATATTGCAAATGTAATCAACATCCACGACCATCCGCTCAGCCCTATTTGCCCCGTATGCGTTCAATAGTGCCGTTGCTGTACTAGTCTCATAATTAAACCATCCATTTTTAAACTTCATATTAAGTTTATGTCCTTGCTGCCCCTCTGTTTCCCTCTTTGGTTCTTTTACAGGATATGATGTACCAGCTGCTCCAGGGGTTAGACTTCCTGCACTCGCACCGCGTGGTTCACCGTGACCTAAAACCCCAAAACATCCTGGTCACCAGCGGAGGACAGATCAAACTGGCCGACTTTGGTCTAGCTCGCATCTACAGCTTCCAGATGGCGCTCACGTCAGTGGTGAGTTATGGTCGTCATATTTTTAAACGCTGTTGGTCTCATCCAGTGGAGGCCTTCAAAACAAATACTCGCAAAACTGTAAGCGCATGGGTTCCCGACTGAATGAGCGCGTCAAGACTTCTCACCATGAAATATGGTGATTTTTGTTTTTTAAATTTATTTTCTTCTTCTTTTGAGTTGCAATCACACTACTACTGAAGAAAAATAGGCAAGGCAAGTTTATTTATAGCTGGATTTATTGGCAATTAATAATTATAGACCTACTTCTGATCTTATCTATAGTTTAATTTTTATTTTTATTTTTTAACTAAACAACTGAAGCGCCTGAACTGAATCAGGTTTCAGAACCAATAGAAGCACAGAAACTGCCTTTATTAAAGTCATCAGTGACCTGAAGATCAACAGTGATCCACAGACTGTTTCTTTGTTGTGCTTGATGCCATTGTTGACTTTGTGGCTCTTGATTGTAATGATTTAATTAAACAGCTTTGCGATTTAATTGGTTTTAACGTGTCGGGCTCTCAGCTGGTTGCCATCATACCTAATGGATACAAGTTTTCATGTTTCAATTAGCAGTTTTAGATCTGCACAATGAAAATTCCATTGGGAGTTCCTCAAGGGTCCTTCTTTGGTCCATCGCTCTTTAACCTTCACATGCTCCTGCTTGGTACAGCGTTCCCTCGTTTTTCGCGGGAGTTACGTTCTGAAAATAGTTTTATATTATAGAATTATATTATAGAATGAAACCAAAGATCAAACCCTGTTTTCAGGTCCAGAACATGGGAATAGAGCAGCTGCCAGAGAATTCAACATTAATGAATCAATGGTACAGAAGTAGAGGAAGCAAGAAGAATGAGTTGAGTAAAGTTTGACTTATCTGATTGTGTCCAGAAGTCCAACTTTTTGTGCGATGGTTAGCATCTTCCTCTGCCTTTCGGTGCCTTTGACAGTGCAAAATGCTTCGTCGACAGTGTTGTGTTTGTTGGGGAGAAGACTTACAGTACAGCACTTCTGAGTAACGCTGTTAGCGATCGAAGATCTATGTAAATTTGACACGGTGAACGTATTCTGTACTGGACAGGAGACTTCGCACGAGATTGACAGTGTAAAAAAAAAAACAAAGCATTCAAAATTGCACAAAAAAAAAAAAAAATCGCCGAAACACAGAAAGGTGAACTGTTATACTGCTATAGCGATCACAAATGAATAAGATCCGTTGATGACATTATTTGCTGGAAGTCAGAAACGAGATGGAAATATTTGTTGTTCTAAAAATAGGAGAGAAAATCTGTTCATATTTATCACCACTTTTTCTCAAACACAGTCAGCAGGTTAAAACATTGGCATTATTTTGGACAGTCATCTCTGTCATGTTGATAAAGTCACGAGGACTGTTTACATCCACCTAAATTGATAAAAACAAAATTGAAAATCCTTCTCTCAAACTGACTTTGAGTAATTGATCCATGCATTCATATCTAGCAGGTTAGACTGTTGTAAGTCTTTATTTATTTAATACTGACTATTAGAATCATCAGTAGAATGACTTAAGCTCACTGCACCAGCTACAGTCCTTACATGTACATGCAAACTTGAACATATTATTCCAGTACTGAAGGCATTTCATTGGTTCCCAGTTTAACAGAGAATTACCTTTAAAATCCTTTGACTGGTTTAGTGCCTATAACCCAGTCAGACCTCTTAGGTCATTAGGTGCAGGTCTTTTAACTGTTTCCAGAATTAGATCCTAAGTTTCATGAGGTTCTGTCAGTTACTGTGATGCTGTTTGGAAACAACCTGCCTGCTGACCTGAAGTCAGTTACAGCTGTAACTACATTCAAAAACGGACTCGAAACCTTTTTCTTTTCTTTTCTACAGGGTTTCACTTAGTGTGTGTGTGTGTGTGTGTGTGTGTGTGTTGTCTTTTATTTATTTGTACCAACCATCCTCGAACATGCACTTTGTAGTAGGATCTTCATAAAATGTGTGTGTGGATACTTCAAACTCATGCCGACGTTGTCTTCAAGGCTTTTTGGTGGATCCCACTCCTGACCCCAAAGCCCAACACAAGACACACTGCCTTGAACTTCCCTCCCATCCCCTGAGAGTTGGATGAAAAGCGTCTAATGTGTTGTAGCGGGCACTTACAGGGTATCAGCGGGTAGCTCGGCAGAACAGCGCCAAATGATAGGATTTCTCTGTGTAAATTGAGAGCCAAGGGGCCCCGTGGCCTGCCTCAGGAATCCCTCAGTGGCTGTCGCAGACAGGGATGGAACAGGCAAGGAGAGACAGACACCCCTCCCGTCCCGCTGTCGGGACTTTGATGCCTAACTGCTGAGCTCTGGGCTCTGATGACCAGATAATATATATAGAGAGGGACTGAAAAGAGTCTTTGGAAGAGTTTAAAATGAGGAGAGATGAGACTTTCAAGATCAAGGTAGGCAGCAACAGTAGCTCAGTACTTTGGGTTTCTTTTTCCTTTTTTAAAAAAACTTTTATTCAAAGCTTTTCTGATCTGCCCGCCTTTTAGGAAATTTCATCATTAATGTGTCTGGACTTTTTGAGTCCATTGGGATAGTGTCATTACCTTATGTTAAGGCTTGTTGAAGGCTCATGTGAGTGGGGCAAAAACCTAATTTATTTTTTCTTTTGGCAGAAATATGTCAGAAGGAAAAAGTGCATGCACCTGGATAGGCTGGTGTTGTACTTTTCTGCATCCACCATAATCCACCTGGGTGCAGGTGACATAAATGTCGAGAAAGCTGAGCTGATAGAGGACAAGCTTTGATTCTGCTCGTCTGTGGCATTATCATTGGTGCTCTTCTCTGTGTGACAGCCAAAGCCGACATGCTTACATCTACTGCACAGTAACAACTTCTGGTGCTCTGTAGGCAATTTTATGGAGAAATACCATTTCTGGTGGTTTTAAAGGCAGTTTAATGAAACAAATCTCCAGATTTAAGAAAAACCCCAAACCCATTAAAAATGTCAAGTAAGCTGACCATCCCAGCATGCATGCCCCAGTGACCTTTGTGTACGTTGTCTTCTTAAAGTCCAGATGTGATATTTTCAGTCATCGGTTTCACACTCTGTTGGCAATAATGTCAGGCATGTACATGAGCTTGGACTTGCTCCTAATAGAGGAGTATAAAATGTGCTCTGGTCAGCTAAGTGTTGGTGGCGACTTTAATAAATAAGAATGGAGGGCGTGTCTGTTGGTAGATCCACTATGGATGGCATTGTTGTTCAATTTTAAGTTAATAATTAAATTAAATGCTAAGATTACTCAACAAATACCCTGGGAGGCATTCACATAAGTGGGCAGAATGGCAGGTAAAGTCTTTGTCTTGGAAACACTGATGTGAACTTGCACTTTCATTATTAAGGCAGCAGTTATTGGAAAGTACAGATGGGTTACGGTTCCAAAGGTTACACCTGATAGCTGCTTTTAACTGGGTTAGTCTTTAAGAGGAAAGAAATTCAGTTTGAGTAATGATCATAGGCCACGCCATAAACATATAATTTCTCAGTATTATCATACAGGGTACGTTTTTTAGATTAAGATAAGTATTTCCTCAGTTATCTATCATCCTGACTGATGATTATTCATAGTAGATGAAGACATGATTAACCATAGAATTTGCATAGTGTTACACAATATTTAGTGTGTATGTGGTTGTACTGAGGATTTGTCTCAAGTAGGTGTGATAGTTTCTTTTCTTTTTTTATGACTAGACGGGGGCATTTTTGTCGAGGAAAGAATACTTGCTAGGGGATTCACCTTCACATATGAGCAGCAGTTATGAAGTCCCCGAAACTACTCGCGCACACACACAGAGCAGCACATAACATGTTAATCTGTTTGCAGTCACACTCGAGCACTCATTTCCTTCCTCGGTTAGATTGGGCCACAAAACGAGATGGGGTGTGTGTGTGTGTGTGTCTCAGCACATGCACGCGCTGGTGTGGAGCTGCGAGGACGGGGTCTTCGGTTCCAGATGAATGTTCCTGCGTCTGGAATCCCCCTATCAGCCCAACACACACACAAACAAACGCGCACACATACACAATCTCCATTCATCCATTCATTGTTTCCTCTTGCTAATAATAAAGTGCACAATCTACACTGTATGCAACACACACACAGTGTTTAAGAGGATCTTCCCCTTTGCCCAACAGACCAACAGTTACATATTTAGTCACCTAATGCCACCGTTACTGGTAGACAGATGGGCTTTAGAGAACTGCTGTTGCTTAAGCGAATGAGGTTCTCTCTCACTTTCAAAGTGATTCATTTAGCACTTCTAGAATGACAAGATGACTGAAATGAACATTTGCATGAAGTTGTCAAAGAGTCCCTCACTCACTTTTATGGGGTTTTTTTTTCTTTCCCCAGTGTTGCTAACTGAAAGTAGCACTGCTGTACTTTCTGCTGATGATTTACCAGCATTGCCTGAACTTCTCTTTTTGTGATGAATTTGCTGCCTCACATAGCAACATGGTGGCTTGCTAATACACGTGCATTAAAAATGGGTCATGGAGTCCGGGTGCACGCATGAATGAATATGAGTGATTGCCCCCCAACCCAACCAAATCGGCTTCTCGTAGAAAGGAGGTGGAGAGTAAAAAGAGGGAGAGGGGAGGGAGACCACCCAAAGGGTTGGTGTGGGGGTCCAGATTAGGGTGCCCCCCGGCAGTCCCTGAGGGACCATTGCTTTGTTGATGGGTTTTTTTTATGACCCTAGTTTGGCTACAGCCTCATTGTACTGCCTTGAGTGACAGGCAGATGGGAAAAGCTGATGGGTTAATCTGACATAACAGGAAAGAGTGCAGAGGGCTCTTTAAGATCCTCCTTCTGCCAAAGCACTTGAAGCAAAATCTTTTTGGAAATGGGAAGAAGTGTCACATCATTTTAATACAAAACAAACCAATTCACAGAGTAGCACAACCTTTTCTTGCATCTTAAATGCATAAAGTGACAGAAAACATGTAATGAGATT